AAAAAGAAAAAAAAAACTAAAATGAAGTAAAGAAGGATCCAATTCGTTCTTTTTTTTTTTTTAAAATATTGTATTGTTTTTGGTGAAAGTTTACACAGCAAATTAGATTCCCATTAAAATTCAGACACAAAATGTTCCATGACACTGGTTACAATACCCGCAATGTGTCAGCACTCTCATTATTGCCACCCCGCCTGCCCTGTTTCTATCCATCCATTTTCCCTGCCCCTATTTGCCTTCTCATCTTTGCTTTTGGGTAAATGTGGACCATTTGGTCTTATATGGTTGGCTGTTTAAAGCAACACATTCCTCATGGGCATTGTTGTTTATTTTAGAGGCCACTCTATTATTTGGCTGAAAGGTGACTTCCGGGAATGCCTTCAGTTCCAGGTTAAAAGGGTATGTTAGGGCAATAGTCTCAAGAGTTCCTCTAGTCTCTATCAGTCCAGTAAGTCTGGGCTTTTTTAAGAATTTGAGTTTTGTTCTACACTTTTCTCCCATTCTAACTGGGACCTTCTATTATGTCCCTGGCTAGAACGGTTGGTGGTGGTAGCCAGGCACCATCTAGTTCTTCCGGCTAGAACAGGCTACGGTTCGCGTGGGCCAATAGTCCTGTGGACTAATTTCTTCCTTGAGTGTTTGATTTCCTTCACTCTTCTTTGCTCCGGACATGAAGAGACCAATAGTTATATCTTAGAAGGCCGCTCTCAAGCTTTTAAGACCCCAGATGCTACTCACCAAACTAGGAAGAAAATTATCTTTATGATTAAGTTATGTCAGTTGATATATGAGACTATGGTCCTGAGCCTTCAAACCTAGTAAATCAATCCCACGAGGTGTTTGGATATGTCTAGGAAGTATCCCTAACCATGCGCCCTACATGCTTTATTGTATATATGAATATATATGCAGCACAAATATGTACATACATGTGCCCATAAATGTATCTATATATATGCGTATGTACTTCCATACACCCTCCCACAACCATATAGCATACATATCTACCCATGTAACCATTCACATATTTTTTGCTTGTTATTACTGTTGTTGCAAAATTGTATGTGTTCTAGCATTTACCATAGTTGTCGTTTACCAGTTTGTTCTTCGAACTCTTTATTCATTTAGTCAACATAGTTTCTTCCAAGGCACAGCTTCTTCCAGCCTTTCAAAGCAGCACATCATTTTCATTGGCTGGGATTGCAACAATACTGCCTGGCCTCATCTGCCGTAGTCTTTCATGTTGTTGCACAGCTAAGAAAATATTGTATTTCCAGAATACTATCAGCATAACTGCCACCTGTGCTTTGTACCAACATGGAATGATCTGTTTACACCTTTCCACATTAAACCCAGGAGCTGTCAGTACTATGCATATTGACTATGCCTAGTGATTTACAAGGCTAGAAATCTATCTACACCTTTGTAAAGCAGCAAGGCTTGGAACAATGGCAGGCAAGTTGGTTCCAGCGTTGAGCAAATTTCTCTCACCCTATAGTTCTAGGAGTCCCCAGGCTTTCTCAACCTCCATGGAACTTCACCACCATCCTTCCTAGCCACATCTTCCTGAAAGATGAGAAGCAGGTAAAGAGCCTGAATGTCTTCCTCCCTTCTCCCCCACCATGGCATTAGAACTCATTAGGGGATGGGGGGAAGGGGGCAGCCAGAGAGTGCAATGTGTATTCTCACTAAGATTTTTCAAATGTCTTTTCAAAGAACAAGCTGGCCATCACCAATCGTGAAGTCCTGAGGCCACATGAAATAGTACCACAGGAAATCTCTAACGTGGTTTCTCCAGCTATTGCTTTATATCTCAGAGGTTCTTCCTGCCATAAAAGTGATTATGCATAGTCCATAAAGGGGCCTGAAAAATAAGCCAGGGCTGGGCATAGCAATGTGGACACTTCCAGTATTCCCATTCTTGCCCACAGCACGGTCCTTTGTGTCTCTTTTTGATTATTCTGTCATTTGGAGAACACGTTCTGCCCATAACCTGCCTAACACACATGTGCACATGCCACGCCATGTTTAACAGTGTTTTCTTTAAATGCACCCCACTAATTCTTTCCAGGAAAGGTCCATAATTCCTTTAGTGGACATTTTTCTTTGTTTTCACTTTCTTTAGAGAAGTATCATAATAGTTGCTATAGATACACATTTAAGGGATTGCTTATGGAGGGAAGAAGAATCCCCTTTTCATGCCAGGCACTATGCTTTCCCTATGTTATCTTATTTAATTCTCTCAACAAAAGGAGATAGGCATTACTGTTCCTTCATTAGGGATGGGGAACCGGAGACTCACAGAAGTTAAGTAGCACATATAACTAGGAACTGACCATGTGCAGGAACTGTGCTGAGCCCTTTAGGTAAAATACTAGTAGTATATAGTCACTTAACAAATACTTCTTGAATGAATGAGTGAACTCAGCTAAGCCTCACTCTAACTCTCAAGGTGAGTACTATCATCAGACCCATTTCACAGGTGAGGAAATAGACTCAATTAAACTGCTCAATATCTATTGGGATTAATGGCAACTGGAGATGGGATTTGAATCCAGCCCTACCTGGCACCAAAGCCAGGATCCTTTCCACTCCACCATACTGTCTCTAAAGAAAATACCAGAAACAAGGTCACTATAAAACAACTCCCCTTTTCTAGGCACTAACTTGTGCCTTTCTCTTAGCAGATACCTTTCCCCTTAGCACAGCCAGGATTCACATCTGAGACAGGGAGTTAGGAAATCACAAAGCATGAAAGTGATTGGGGAAATAAAAAAGAACATCATGAAACATTACCTAACTGTTTAGTAATGTTGTCATGCATTGTCCAAAATTGGCCTGGAACAGGAGTACAGCCAAGGAGAGGAATATAAACAGATCTTGTACTGGGATGAGAGACCTCATTTCTAACCTTTCTGATTCCTATGAGACGTGGAGACATTCAGCACGAGCTCCATGAGTGCCATGGACCAGGCACACACACTCAGGGACAGAAAGAGCCATTGCAGGGTCAGAGCCGAAAGAACATTTACACAAGAACTCCAGCAGGGACTTAAAAAGTACCGTATGTTTTCGCCTTTCAAAGCATGATCCCCTTTCCTGTTTTTGTTATTCTGAAATTAAAAACATTTGGTTGGTGTGCCAGGCAGCAAAAACAGCAGACACCTCAGGTCACCAACACCCCTCATGCCATGCCAGGGAAGGCCATCAAAACAGCTCCGACTTCAGAAAATCACGGCTAGGCTCTGTGCTCAGCACCAAATTAATGTATCACCATTACACATGATGGCTTATTGGGATTCTCTCAACGTTTAAAAAAAAACCACAGGAACCAGAAACTATTACTTTAAAATTAAGATGTGTGTGCTCGTGGCTTTGTCTGCTGCCTCTGGCAAGTGCTGTTACATGACGTTGCCTAGGGAACTGTTGGCTTTGTTCACAGCTGTATCCCACGGGAAGGTGCTGTGAATGAATGAATAATACCAAAATCAAAGGCATCCCCCCCTCCAAAATCCTGAAAACATAAAACCCACCCCAACTGATTCAATGAAGGTAGTAAAAGAGGAATAGGCCACAATTTTAAGCCATAAGAACAATGTACCAAAATTCAAATCTACAGAAGAGATATTAAAGAGATAATTATCTTCTGAAAACTGGGGAAAGGGATTTTCTTTTTTTTTTTTTTTTTAACTTACAACATCATTCATTCCAATATTTCATCAAATACTTACCGCCTAAACATATTTGAAATAAGATTTTTTTCATCAGATTTCAACATTCAACTTTTCAGGAAACGAGCTGCTGTCTGCCCATACTGTCAACCAGCTAAGCCTCTTTATTTCCTTCATGAAATAGAATGTTTAAGCAAGAGGCTGGGGTATATTTTTGCAGCATAATCTCATCTCAGTTACTGTGATTCTTTTTTCAGTGTTTCACCCTTAGAAGTTACAAGCAAGTGACAACAGACACGTCAATACCATGTATTTATCTTAAAAAGAGAGGTGCATGGCGTGAACTGGGGTCAGCCTGATCTCCCACACCTTCCCTAAGTACCTAACCCCAAAGTGAGAGCTGATACACAGGACCATGACACGGAGGCCCTCGCAGGACTCTCAGTCATAAAGGTTTAATTACGTTCATTATTCTACATTTACTATGACTTGAATAATGAACATGATTAAACCTTTCATGACAGAGACATTCATTATTCTACACTGACTATAACTAGGGGCAGGCAGTGGTGGTTCAATGATAGAATTCTTGCCTTCCACGCGGGAGACCTGAGTGCAATTCCTGGCCAATGCACCTCATGCATAGTCACCACCCATCTGTCAGTGGAGGCTTCTGTGCTGCTATAAAGCTGAACAGCTTTCAGTGAAGCTTCCAGACTAAGACAGATGAGGAAGAAAAGCCTGGCAATCTACTTCCAAAAAAATCAGCCAGTGAAAACCCTATGGATCATAATGGTCTGATCCTGTTGTGCCTGGGGTCACCATAAGTCAGGGGCCAACTCGACAACTATGACTGGAGAGCAGACTTATACATTTCAGGAATTTCACATATGAGACAACTGGAGTCCAGAGAGGTTAACGGACTTGCCCAAGTTCACAATTTGTAAATGGCAGAGCCTGGACTCAAACCTGGGGCTGTCCTGACCCCAGCATTCAGGCTTCTAACCACCACACCATCTGCCCTTGTCAGGAGAAACCAAGGAGCAGACTATTTTGCAGAGTGAAAAATAATTGAAAGACCTTAGAGAAAGCCCAAAGAGATAGGATCTTTAGAAAAATAACATATATAAGCAACAACTTAAATTATTGCCAATCATCAAAACAAAGAAATGTTCCAACTTACAATAATTTTCAGGCTTCCCTTAATATCGAAAGATTTGATCACCCAGTTGACAGACTTTTTGCACTTCAAGATCAGGATGAGATTTTTGACCACTTCAGAATCCTTTTGAAAAGGTCTTACGTCAATTATTATATCCACCTGGAAAGCACTGTGAATGGAAAACAAAGGCAAACTTAGGACCCAAATGCCAGAAAGTTGCAACTATCTCCCCTCTTCCAAGTCTTCGTGTTTCCAATGTCTGGCCAGTTGATTAAAAAGCTGGAGTGCATCCCAGGCAAATGACATGTGCAAAACAGATTGTTATTGCACACATAACAAAATGATTTTACATAACAATAGAAACACATGCCTGCTGATAATAAGCCACTAAAACTTTTCTCTGGGAAAAAAAAAAAAAAAGAAGTGGTTACTTAACGCAGCCACTGTTTGAAATGGACTTGAAGAAACCAGGAATTTACTTCTGAAGCAGAATTGTTGCTTTTCCAACCTTCAACACCTTGAAGATGTAACTTTCCAACATGTGATGTGTTCAAATTCCTTCAAAACCGGAAGTGAGTGGCAGTTTGGTGAGTGCGGAGTGGCAGGGATGTGGAAGGCGTGGTGGTAAAAAGTTAGGAAACCTCAGAATAAAGTAAGAGGTAAAAGGCTAGAGAATTTCTTGACTTATATAAGGTTTGTTTAAGCCATTAACACTGCTACGGAATCAAATCTGCATTTACTTTCCAAAACTTCTGGATATACTGTTTTTAAAATAAAGAAAACAGATGGTCAACCAACTGATTACTGGAAAATTGATGAACACAACCCAAATTTCTAAGAATTCAGTATAAAAGAGTTTTTTTTTAACCAAAGAATAACATCTCTGTCATTATGAATTTAAGGGAAAAATCTTTATTTCCATCTTGGTTTTATACACTTGTAAAGCATAAAATGAATGGTATGCTCGAATGAAGCCTGAGGCTTAATATCTAAGTGCACTTGTCAGATTGCTTCTACCCCCATTCCCTTTTAATTTTCCACAAAATTCTTTATGTGGGACAGAGTGAAATCTTACCAAAACCAATACGTAGCTTATTCGCTTTTGAAATCAAAATTTGATTCGAATGTTAACTTTTAAATCATTCTACAACATAGCATCTAGGAGAATAAAATACCTAGGAATAAATCTAACCAAGCACATGAAGGACTACACTACTACCCAAAGCAATCCACAGATTCAATGCAATCCCAGTCAAAATTCTAACAGCTTTCTTTACAGAAATGAAAAAACCAATGCCAACTTTACGTGGAATGGAAAAGAGGCCCTAAATAGCTAAAGCAATATTGAAAGAGAAGAACAAAGTAGGAGGATTCACACTTCCTGATGTTAAAACATATTATACAGTTATATTAATCAAAATAGCCTGGCAGTGGTATAACAATAGACACACAGACCAAGGGAACAGAGTTGAGAGTCCAGAAATAAAACCACACATCCATGGTCAGCTGATGTTTCACAAGGGTGCTAAGTCCATCTGATGGGGAAAGAAGATTTTTTTTCAATAAACGGTACTGAGAAAATTGGATTCCCACATGCAGAAAAATGAAACCGGTACCATTCTTCACACCATACACAAAAACAAATTCAAAATGGATTAAGGACCTAAATGTGCAAAAAAAACAAACCATAAAATTCTTAGATGAAAATGTAGGGGCAACGTTGTCTAGCCTAGCTTTTAACAATGGATTATCTAGTATAGTAACAAAAGTACAAACAGCAAAAGACAAAATAAATAAACAAGACCTCATAAAAATTAAAAACTTTTGTTTATCAAGACTCTACCAAAAAAATGAAAAGAAAGACAAGCTACCAACTTGGAGAAAATCTTCAGAAATCATATAGCCTATAAGAATCTAATAACCAAAATATACATAAAATTTTGACAACAACAAAAAGACAAAATAACCCAATCATAAAATGAGCAAAGGACTTGAATAGACATTTCACCAAAGAGGATATTCAAATGGCCACCAAACACATGAAAAGATGCTCCACATCATTAGCCATCAGAGAGATACAAATCAAAACCACAATGAGATACAATTTAACTCCTACTAGGATGGCTAGGAGCCCTGGCGGTGCAGTGGTTAAGGGCTTGGCTTCTAACCAAATGGTCGACAGTTTGAATCTACCAGCCGCTCCTGGGAAACTGTATGGGGCGGTTCTACCCTGTCCTATAGGGTCATTATAACTTGGAATTGACTCTATGGCAATGAGTCTTTTTTTTTGAAGGATGGCTAAGATTAAAAAACACAGAAAATAAATGTTGGCGAAGATGTGGGGAAATTGGGACCCTTAACCACTGCTAGAGCCCTGGTGGCATAGTGGTTAAGAACTACAGCTGCTAAATAAAAGGTTGGCAGTTCGAATCTACCAGCTGCTTCCTGGAAACCCTGTGGGGTAGTTCTACTCTGTCCTTTGGTCGCTATGACTCGGAATTGACTCAGCAGCAGTGGGTTAACCACTGCTGGTGGGAATGCAAAATGTACACCCGTTGTGAAAAACAGTGTGACAGTTTCTCAAAAAACTAAAAATAGAACTATCATATGACCCAGCAATTCCACTCCTAGGTATATACCCAAAAGACTTGAAAGCAGAAACTGAAGAGACTTGTACACCAATGTTCATTGTAGCACTATTCACAATAGCCAAAAGGTGGAACAACCTAAATGCCTATCAACAGATGAATGGATAAACAAAATGTGGTACATATATACAAGGGAATACTACTCAGCCAGTAGAAGAAACAGTCTTGATATATGATATAATATGGATGGAGCTTGAAAACATTATGCTGACTGAAATAAGTCAGTCACAGAAAGACAAATATTATATTAAATGTATAGAGACTAAAGTTTATTAATGGTTACCAGGGACAGGAGGGAGGGGAAAGATATGGCTAAAGGTCATGGAAATATCGCATTGATTAAGGGTAGGGTTGCACAGCTGATTACTGCAACTGCTGTCAATAAGTTGTATACCTATAAAAAGTTTAACTGGTAAAAGTGTGATAGACATATTTACAACATAACAAAACGAATAGCTGCTGAGTCTGCTTACATACAACCAAAAGCCTCATGGAATTTGATTCCTTGGGTTGGAGGTTTAGGGTCATGGTTTCATGGGACATCCCAGTTAACTGGCCTAATAACTCGTTTACTGCCTCTGTTCTACCTCCTAGTTTGTTGTGTAGTGCCCGGGGTCTTAAAAGATTGCATGCGGTCATCCAAGACATGACAACTGGTCTCTATTTGCCTGGAGCAACAGAAGAAGGAGAGTTGGGAATAGGAGGAGGGTATGGAATGCATGGCTAATTGCCTCCATGAACAACTGCCTCCTCTGCCATGAGACCAGAAGAACTGGATGGTGTCCAGCTACCATTACTGAATATTTTGATCAAAGATTCTATAGGAGAATCCTGGTCAAAAGGCGGAAAATGCAGAACAGAATTTTAAATCGTCATCAACTCCAGACTTTCTGGAGCCAAGGGGGCAGGGTGAACCTTTGAAACTATTGCCCCGAGGTAATCTTTAAAACTTAAACCAAAAATATCCTCTGAAGTCTTCTTAAAACCAAACAATAGTTTAGCTTAACTAGTAAAAAAGGTCTACCTTGAGCATTATGCTATTTTAAGCATAATGCTCTCGAAAGATGATAGGAACCTTACAGGGCAGTGAGTTTATGTTAATGGGGGAGGAACAACTCAGAAAAAGAAGGTGAGAATGGTTGTACAACTTGAAGAATGTAATCAATGTCACTGAATTGCACATGTAGAAACAGTTGAATTGGTGTATGTTTTGTTGTGTATATTCTCAACAACAACAAAATTAAATAATTCTATAACAAATTTAAATTTGTAAGTCACTAGTTCACATAAAATGTAGGCTAAAATGAGAGCAGGGTTTATATGTTCCCTTTTTTCTTTCAGTTTTCAATTCCCTAATCATTCTTGATAAAACCTCACTGCAGTCGAGTCAATTCCGACTTACAGTGACCCTACAGAACAGAGTAGAACTACCCTGTAGGGTTTCTAAGGCTGTAAATCTTTATTGAAGTAGAGTGCCACATCTTTCTCCTGCAGAGTGGCTGGTGGGTTTGAACCATCGATCTTTTGGTTAGCGGCAGAGTGCTTTAATCACTCTGCCACCAGGGTTCCATCATTCTTGAAAATCAAAGCCCGCTGCCATTGAGCCGATTCTGACTCAGAGTGACAGGAGGGTCAAATTTCCAGCCCAGGGGCAGGAAGATGAGGGTGGGAGAGGGAGAGCAAGAACACAAGTTATTCTATCTAATGGCTCTTTACATATCGCCACAAAGGGCCACCCCACCCCACCACACACACACACACACACACAGCTTTAAAGCAACAGTTTTGAGTGCAAAAACACTCTGAGGACACTATAAACAGGTCTTTATTAAAAAGAGACTTATTAAAATGGTAATTAATAAGATCTTACTTTATAATTTTCTTATCAGGGATAACTTCAGCCAAGGGGGATAATGATGGAGCTAGACGAGCTGTGTCCTATAATTAGTACTCAGAAGTCTACAATAGGCTTCAGGAACTCACCCAGAATATGAGAGATCTACAGACAGATGTGAAAAATAAAATGCACCACTGGTGCCATTACTCCCTTCTTCAAAGCTTCTGTGAGCCACTCCCTAATCACCAATGGTTCCCTCCCTCCTACATATGGAGGGCTGCCTGCCCCCTCCTCAAATCAGGAAAGATCCTCACTTTCATCTCGGTTCAGGAGAGAACCCACACGTGCACACATTCACACTCACATTACCTGTAGGGGTTAGAGCTGGGGGTGATTAACTCGATGATGTGTACTTCCTTATCCCGGGGCTGGCTGGACATCACACACCCTTCTGCTGCCTTGGGCTGAAGGTACTCAGCAAGGTAATTGAGAGAGAGAAAATTCTTCCCTATGTTGCACGTGGGAGGGAAAACTTGATCTGAAAGTAAAGAAGACAGGGCAATCTGTCAAACCACCCAGCTACAGGGTCACCAGACTCAAAGGAAAGTGGAAGAGGCGTTGAAACTGAGCAAGTATGGGACACAGGAGACACTGCCCAAACGAGGGGCCTTATCTGTGAGGTCTTCAGACACTGCCCTGTAATGCCTCCCATTATGGTCACCAAAACCAAACCAAACCCATTGCCTTCGAGGTGATTCCCACGCCAAGTCAACCCCATGTGTTACAGAGTAGAACTGCTCCATAGGGTTTTCTTGGCTGTAATCTTTATGGAAGCAGATTGCCAGGCCTTTCTTCCATGGTGCCACCAGTTGAGTTTGAACCGCCAACTTTTAGGTTAGTAGCCAACGGCAAACAGTTTGTGCCATCCAGAGACTTGATTTATCATCACCAGTGGCCAACACTAGCGGCCTCTTTTTATCTAAATTCTCTCTCCTTACTTGTTCTCTGTCATATATATTTGTTCTCATCCATCTCCTCTGACTCATCTTTCAGTCTCTTTCACTGGCTCCTCTTCTACTCATTCTTTAAAAACCAATGATCTTCAATTATTGGTGCACATTACAATGTACCTGTCTGGACCCCATCCTCTAGAGTATGATTCAGAAAGTCTGAGTAGAAAGGAGCCCTGGTGGCACAACATTAAGCCCTCAGCTGCTAAGAGAAAGGCTGGTGGTTTGAACCCACCCAGTGGTTCTGCGGAAGAAAGACCTGGTAATCTGCTCCTGTAACGATTACAGCCAAGCAAACCCTATGGGCAGTTCTACTCTGTCACATGGGGTTGCTATGAGTCAAAATTGACTCAATGGCATCTAAAAACAACAGGTGTCATTCCAATAGCCCATAGTCACTAATTAGAGATAACACTTTCAAGAATCATAAAATTGGTCCTTAACAAACAAATTGCACAAAAAATCTGGGTGGAGCTAGCCAGCTTCTTTTTTTAGAAGCTCCATAGTTGACCCTGATGCAAAACAAGGCTAAGAACCTCAGTTCCTTCCCCAATACTCTTTTTTGCCTCATATCTTTGTATATGACCTCAACCACTCCTACAGCTTCACTTTGGACCTGTACCAGGACTCCTCTTCTGAGCTCTAGACCTGTATTGTCATCTGTCTACCAAGTATCTCCTACCTAAAAACCTTATAGGTATTTCATAGTCAGCATATGTGATGGTTAAGGTTATGTGTGAACTTGGCTAGGCCATGATTCTCAGTGGTTCAGCAGATGATGTAGTCACCATCCATGATATGATCTGTTGTGAGCAGCCGATCAGTTGAAAGGGGAGTTTCCTTGGTGGTGTGGCCTGTATCCAATATATATGGACGTTCTGACAAAGCTCGCCCTCTCTCAATCCTGCATCTGACTTGTCATCCTCTGACATCTGGTTATTGGTACATGAGCCAGTAGCCTGCCATCTGACCTACAGATTTTGGGATTCACCAGCTCCCACAGCCCTGTGAGCCAGCAGCCTGCCATCTGACTTGCTCATTTTGGGTTTGTTAGCCCCTGCAACCACATGAGTCAGGAGAAGCCTCCAGCCTGACACTTGACCCACAGATTTGGGACCTGCCAGCCTCCACAACTACATGAACCATTTCCTGAAATCAATCTCTCTGTATATATATTTATATATACACACTTCACTGTTTTTGCTTTTTTAGAGAACACAGCCTAAGATATTTGGTACCGAGAGTAGTTCTAGGAGAACAAAATCATGAGGAGTTTACTGAATTGGTTCTCAAGTGTGGCTAGATTTAAAGTCGCTGATGACTCTGCCTCCAGTAGTAAAGAGGGTACTGCTAATCCATGGCATGAGGTGGCGATAGAAATACGCAAAATATCACCACTAATAGATCAAATATTTGTGAGAGACAAGGCTCTGGATGACTGCATATTTGATACTTTTGTACAATTATGTCACAAAGGGAAGCATAAGGAAACTGGTTGGCTAGTCCTGCTTTCTTTAGGCAAAGTGGTGGAAGAAAGATGAGCTCAGGAGTCACAGCTCAAGCACCACATAAAAGACCTGAAACCTGCCACTCGTGCCCTCAAAGAAAGCCTTATTTCTTGTAGAACAGAGCTGATACTGCCGAAAACAAAACAGAGTCTTTATCATAAGAGTGGCTGAAATACAGTGCCAACTGAATCCCCAACATGGGATCCTGACACTTGGGATGGGGCCATTTGGGCAGACAATCAGGAAGCTGGGGACATTGAGCCCCTAAATTCCATCGAATCACTCTTGCCAACCGAACCAGCCCTCCCACTCCCATGTGAAGAGATTACTCCATCTTTGCATGCTAAGCCACTATCCCAAGTAAAACCATTATCCCTTCCACCACCATCTGATGAGATTAACCCAGCTGTCCCTGAAGAGTCTTTGAGATATCACCTCGGGCGAAGCCTGCGGTGATGTCTGGGGCACTGCCTGAGGCAGATGCCTTACAAGACTCTGCTGACTGCCCCCAGGACACACCCTTATCACCCATTTTTGCTTCTAGAGCTATAACTAGATTTAAGTTCCAACAAACCCCAAGAGATGAAGTCCAAAGCGTAAACCAGGAGGAGGTATGTTTAACTTCAAAAGAACTGTTTGATTTTTCTAACATATACAAACAGAAACCTGGGGAATATGTGTGGGAACAGCTATTAAGGGTGTGGGATAATGGTGCAAGGAACATAAAGTTGGATCAGTCTGAATTTACTGACATGGGCCCACTAAGCACAGATTCTTCATTCAGTGTTTCAGCTCAAGAGGTTAGGAGAGGATCTAATAGTTTATTCGGCTGGTTCACCGAAGCATGGATTAAGCGATGCCTACACTAAATCATGTTAAAATGCCAAACCTGCCTTGGCATACTATAGAAGAATATATTCAAAGGTTTAAAAAATTGTATGTTAGAATGGATTTATCATGTTGGACCCACAGACCCACCACTGGGTGCTCAGAGGACACACCTTGTACCACAACAGTTAGGAACAAATTTGTGAAGAGGGCCCCAGCATCCTTGAAGACTACTGTGATTGCTATTTTATTTAAGTTAGATTTGACAGTGGGAACTGCACTACCTAAATTAAGACACCTAACTCCAATGGGGCTGACTGGATGGTGGCAACCTGTGGTGGTAGGGACCAAGTGGTGGCACTTAATCAACAAAGACAAGGTGGGCGTGGTTACCGTAATGGACAGCAGAGTCAAAGCAGTAATCAGAATAGTCAGATTCATAAAGACTTGTGGCATTGGCTACTTAGTCATGGTGTCCCTAGGAGTGAAACAGATGGAAAATCTACTAAATATTTACTTGATCTGTACAAGTAGAAGAATTCTAGGTCAAGTGAATGGCAATCTAACTTAAATCACCAAAATAGAGAGTCACGGCCCCTCAATCAATTCCCAGACTTGAGCCAGCTGACAGACCCACAACCCCTTAAATGAAGGGAAGGCTGCGTTCCCGTGAGGAAAGACCCCACTACAAAAATTTATATTACTATAAAAGATTTATATTCCTAATCTCTCCCAGCCTTCCCCCAAAGGGATCTGTGGCCTTTTATGAGAGTGACTTTCATGGGGAAAAGGAAATAAACTTCTCAGGGATTACTGGACACTGGCTCTGAACTGACACTAATTTTAGTAGACCCAAAATGTCACTGTGGCCCACCAGACAGAGGAGGGGAATATGGAGGTCAGGTTATTAATGGAGTCTTAGATCAGGTCCATCTCACAGTGGGTCCAGTGGCTTCCTGAACCCCAGTTCCAGAATGCAAAATTAGAACAGACATAATCAGGTACTGGGAGAACTCCCACACTGGATCCCTGATAAATGGAGTAAGGGTTATTATGGTAGAAATAGCCAAGCAGAAGCCATTAGAACTGCCCTTACCTAGGAAAATAGTAAACAAAAGCAATACTGCATTCCTGGAGCGATGGCAGAGATTACTGCCACCATCAAGGACTTGAAGGATGCAGGGGTGCTGATTCCCACCACATCTCCATTCAACTCACCTATTTGACCTGTGCAAAAAACAGATGGATCTTGGAAAACAACAGTGGATTACTGGAAACCTAACCAGGTAATGACTCCAATTGCAGCTGCTATTCTAGATGTGGTTTCATGGCTTGAGAAAATTAATACATCTCCTGGTACCTTGTATGCAGCTATTGATCTGGTCAATACCTTTTTCTCAACTCCCGTTTTCAAGGACCACTACAGAAGCAGTTTGTCTTCAGCTGGCAAGGCCAGCAATACACCTTCACTGTCCTACCTTGGAAGTATACCAACTCTCCAGCTCTATGTCATAATTTAGTCCACAGGGACCTTGATCACCTTTCCCTTCCACAAGATGTCACACTGATGACGTTATGCTGATTGGACCTAGTAAGGAAAAAGTATCAATGACTCTAGACTTATTGGTAAGATGTGTGTGTGCCAGAGGGTGGGAAATTAATCCCGCAAAAATTCAGGCACCTTCCACCTCAGTGAAAATTCTAGGGGTCCAATGATGTGGGGCATGTCGAGACAGTCCTTCGGAAGTGAAGGATAAGTTGTTGCATCTGGAAACTCCTACAACTAAAAAGGAAGCACAATGCCTAGTGGGCCTCTGTGGATTTTGGAGACAATATATCCCTTATTTGGTTGTGCTACTCTGGCCTATCTTTCAAGTGACTTGAAAAGTAGCTACTTTTGAGTGGGGTCCAGAACAAGAGAAGGCTCTGCAACATGTTCAGACTGCCATGCAAGCTGCTCTGCCACTTGGGCCATATGATCCAGCTGATTCAATGGTGCTTGAAGTGTCAGTTGCAGATAGAAATGCTGTCTGGAATCTCTGGTAGGCCCCTATTGGTGAATCACAGCATACCCTTATGATTTTGGGGCAAAGCCCTGCCATCCTCTGCAGATAACTACTCTCCTTTTGAGAAACAGCTTCTGTCTTTCACTAGGCCTTAGTAGAGACTGAACACTTCACCACAGGACACCAAATCACCATGCAGCCTGAGCTGCCCATCACGAACTGGGTATTCTCTGCCCCACAGAGTCATAAAATTACATGTGCACAGCAGCACTCCATCATTAAATGGAAATGTTATACACAAGATTGGGCCTGAGTAGGACCTGAAGGCACAAGTTGCATGAGGAAGTGGCCCAAATGCCCAACATCTCCACTCCTGTCACATTACCTTCCATCTCCCAGTCTGCACCTATGGCCTCATGGGGAGTTCCTTATGACCAGTTGACTGAAGCAGAGAAAACTCACGCCTGGTTTACAGATGGTTCTGCACAATATGCAGGCACTACTTGAAAGTGGAGAGCGGCAGCACTATAGCCCCTATCTGGGACCTCCCTGAAGGACAGTGTTGAAGGGAAATCTTCCCAATGGGCAGTACTTCAAGCAGTGAACCTGGTTGTTCACTTTTCTTGGAAAGAGAAATGGCCAGATGTGCAACTGTATACTGATTCATGAGCTGTGGCCAATGGTTTGGCTGGATGATCAGGCACTTGGAAGGATCCAACTGGAAAATTAGTGACAAGGAGGTATGGGGAAGAGGCATTTGGATAGACCTCTCAGAATGGGCCAAACAAGTGAAGAGATTTGTGACACATGTGAATGCTCACCAAAGGGTGACCTCAGCAGAGGAGGATTTTAACAATCAAGTGGATAGGATGACATCCTCTGTGGATACCAGGGAGCTTCTTTCCACAGCCATTCCTATCATTGCCCAATGGGCTCATGAACAAAGTGGCCATGGTGGCAGGGACGGAGGTTATGCATGGGCTCGGCAACACGAACTTCCACTCATCAAAGCTGACTTGGCTACAGCCACAGCTGAGTGCCCAATCTGCCGGCAGCAGAGACCAACACTGAGTCCCTGATATGGCACCCTTCCTACAGGCAATCAGCCAGCAACCTGGTGGCAGACTGATTACATTAGACCACTTCCATCATGGTAAAGGCAGTGTTTCATTCTTACTGGGACAGACTCTTACTCTGGATATGGATTTGCCTTCCCTGCATGCAATGCCTCTGCCAAAACTACTATCCGTGTACTTAAAGAATATCTTATCCACCATCATGGTATCCCATACAGCAGTGCCTCAGATCAAGGGACCCTCTTCACAGCAAATGAAGTGAGGCAATGGGCCCATGCCCATGGAATTCACTGGTCTTACCATGTTCCCCATCATCCTGAAGTAGCAAGCTTGATAGAATGATGAAATGGCCTTCTAAAGACACAATTACAGCATCAGCTAGGTGGCAATACCTTGCAGGGTTCAGGCAATGTTCTCCAGGAGGCTGTGTATGCTCTAAACCAGCATCCAATATATGGTGCTGTTTCTCCCATAGCCAGGATTCACAGTTCCAGGAATCAAGGGGTGGAAATGGGAGTGGCCCCCACTGACCCACTGGCAACATTTTTGCTTCTTGTCCCCATGACCCCATGTTCTGCGGGTCTAGAGGCCTTAGTTCCAAAGAGAGGAATGCTTCCACCAGAGACACAACACTGATTCCATTGAACCGGAAGTTATGAATTTCACCTGGCTACTTTGGGTTCTTCATACCTCTGGATCAACAGACAAAGAAGGGAGTTAGCATACTGGCTGGGATGACTGAGCAATCCTGACTACCAAGGGGAAATCTAATTGGTGTTGTATAATACAGGTAAAGAAGAGTATGTCTGGAATATAGGAGATCCCTTAGGGCATCTCTTAGTACTACCATGCCCTGTAATTAAACTTAACGGAAAATTACAGCAACCCAATTCCAACATGACTAGTAACGGCCCAGACTCTTCAGAAATGAAGGTTTGGTTCACTCCACCAGGCAAATAACCATAACCAACTGAGGTGCTTGTTGAGGGCAAAGGGAATACAGGATAGGTGGCAGAAGAAGGTAGTTCTAAATACCAACTACGACCACATGACCAGTTGCAGAAACAAGGACTGTAATTGTTTTTAGTATTCTTCCTTGTTTTCTTATACGTGTGTGTGTGTGTGTATACATATATATGTATATGGTAAGTATCTTTTATTTTCGTCTCTCCCTTATTCCATTACTTATTATAAAATATAAGACGTAAATGGGACTAGTGTGTTTTCAGTTTTACATATGTTCATTGTATCATGTTAGGTGCAAGTATAACTTTATAATTGTCTTTATTTAGAGATTATTTATGGTTTAAAGAGAGGTGTACAGGTGCCAAGTTGATAAGGGGTGGACTGTGATGGGTAAGGTTATGTGTCAACTTGGCTAGGCCATGATTCTCAGTGTTTCAGCAGATATGATGTAGTCACTATCCATGATGTGATCTGTTGTGAGCAGCCAATCAGCTGAAACGGGAGTTTCCTTGGGGAAACTATCCAATATATATGGATGTTCTGGCAAAGCTCGTTCTCTCTTGATCCTGCATCTGACTCGTCATCCTCTGACCTCTAGTTCTCAGGACCTGACACAGCAGCCTGCCATGTGACCTGCTGATTTGGGGTTCATCAGTCCTGCAACCACGTGTGTCAGGAATGCCTGACCCATGGATTTGGGACTTGCCAGCCTTTACAACTGTGTGAGCCATTTCCTTGAAACAAATCTCTCTGCATGTGTGTATGTGTATATATA